GGCCGCCTGGGCTTTTGGAGACTTTTTTGACCACATTCTTCTTTTAAAATTTGGACTCTCCAAGGTTTCCTGTCAAAGACTTAATTTTCAGCAAAGTAAGGTTTATACATAAAACATGAATGAGTGTTTGAGACATTTATACTAAGGTTGGGAAGAATTAATTTGAATGATATTTGGCATAAATCTGCTGTTACAGAGGCAGCAAAAGATGGCACAAAAAGAAAGGAGGATTTTGTTTGACTGCTTCTGAAATTCCATCTGTTTACCTCAGCATTTAAAGAATTATCTGATCCTTAGTTGGTTCTTTATCGTATTTTCAAGGTTTTTATTTACCCCTGCAGTTAGGAACTTGTGATTTTTTGTGGAATATTGAGACACACAGAAAATACCTTGGTTACATACTTGTTTCCCTGAAAGAATCATGATTTTATTATTTTTATAAAAATGACACAGGTTTTCTTTAATTTGAAAAGAATTAGAGGAAATAAAAATCATTCAGAATACTCTACCCAGAAATAGCCATCATGAATATCTGCCAGATATCACTCTAGACATTTATATATTTCTGTAGTAAGAGAATGAGTGGAATTAAAAAAATATAAAATAAAATGTGTCATATGTTACATGAAATTTGATTTTATTTGAATTAACAGAAGAATAAAACTGAAGTGAAACTAAAATAATTGGTGAACTTGATACTTTCTCAAAATAAATTGATTATCAGATTTTTCTAAAGTTAAGAAAAAAGATTATGAAAAACTTTGAAATTATAGTCATTTTATAAGTATATATATTTTTAACTTTTGATAGTATTTTATGATCCCTTACTATGAAAAGTGAAGTAGTTAACACTTTGAAAATTTCTCCCTCAACATTTTTTTTTTTTTTTTGAGGCAGAGTCCTGCTCTGTTGCCCAGGCTGGAGTGCAATGGAACAATCTGGGCTCACTGCAACCTCCACCTCCCAGGTTCAAGCAATTCCCCTGCCTCAGCCTCCTAAGTAGCTGGGACTACAGGTACCTGCAACCATGCCTGGCTAATTTTTGTATTTTTAGTAGACACTGGGTTTCAGCATGTTGGCAAGGCTGGTTTCAAACTCCTGACCTCAGGTGATCTGCCCACCTCGGCCTCCCAAAGTTCTGGGATTACAGACGTGAGCCACCGTGCCTGGCCTCAATTTTCATATTTGGTTCTGTACCCATACCCAAGATTGCTTAATGTAATTCTGTATCTAACAGAATACCAACTCAACCTAGCCTCCTAATCATGGCTTGTTTCCGCTTCCTTTTCACTTTCCTTCAGTTGGATGAATTTCATTTCCAACTTACATCTTGACTGCATGCTGGAGAATGTATGGTTCAGATAGCCAAGAGAGAAATTCACATTTAAAGTCACACGGGAATTCTGATATCACGTCCTCTCTGTTCTTGACTTGGGTCTCAGATAGGCCAGAGATTTTTACCAGTTGAACCACACTGTGGCCCCTAACCAGCACTGAGACATTTGACAAACTGCAGGACTCCTGGTCACTTCCTCCTCACCTTCCTGTACCTATTTCTCCCCAAACCCATCTGTGAAAGCTCCTTAAACCAATTACCCTTTTCACATTTTTTTTTTCTGAGATGCAGTCTCACTGTCACCCAAGCTGGAGTACAGCAGTGCAATCTCAGCTCACTGCAACCTCTGCCTCCCAGGTTCAAGTAATTCTTGTTCCTCAGCTTCCTGAGTAGCCAGGATTACAGGTGGACACCACCACGCCCAGCCAATTTTTGTATTTTTTTTTTTTTTGAGACAGAGTCTCACTCTGTCACCAGGCGCCAGGCTGGAGTGCAGTGGCACGATCTCAGCTCACTGCAACCTCTGCCTCCCAGGTTCAAGCAATTCTCCTGCCTCAGACTCCCGAGTAGCTGGGACTACAGGCACACGCCACCACACCCAGCTAATTTTTGTGTTTTTAGTAGAGACAGTTTTTCACCATGTTGTCCAGGCTGGTCTCGAACTCCTTACCTCAGGTGATCCAGCCACCTCAGCCTCCCAAAGTGCTGTGATTACAGGCGTGAGCCATCATGCCTGTCCCCTTTTCACATTGAAAGTTACAGTCACAGTTTTAAGTTACCAGCTCCTCCCCACTGGCTTTAGTGCAGGTCATAAGTAGCTTGTTGATGTTACTTCCTAAGGTGCTTGAGTTTAAGAACCTATTATATCTTACAATTGGAACCCAGCATGGGGCATGAGTGACTTTTTTTCTTATTAGCTTGTAAGGGCTTTTTCCCGTGACAATTTGGACTGTCAAAAATCTGGCAGGGCCCACTGGCTCACACCTGTCATCCCAGCACTTTGGGAGGCCGAGGCTGGCAGATCACCTGAGGTCAGGAGTTCGAGACCAGCCTGGCCAGCATGGTGAAATCCCATCTCTACTAAAAATATAAAAATGAGCCGGGCATGTGGTGGGCACTTGTAATCTCAGCTACTCGGGAGGGTGAGGCAGGAGAATTGCTTGAACCAGAGAGACAGAGGTTGCAGTGAGCTGACACGGTGCTACTGCACTCCAGACAGGGTGACAGAGTGAGACTCTGCCTCAAAATTTTAAAAAATCAAGGTAGTAGAAGAGAAAGATAAAAAGCGAGTATGAAAAATAGTTGAAGTCAGAATTGGATATCAGTAACTCTAAATTTTATGGTTCTCTATGAAACTGTAATTCATACATCCCAAAATCTCTTTCTTTTCTCTTTTATTTATTTATTTATTTTGAGATGGAGTCTCACTCTGTCACCCATGCTGGAATGCAGTGGTGCGATCTCAGATCACTGCTGCCTCAACCTCCTGGGAAGTGCAAGTGATCCTCCCACCTCAGCCTCCTGAGTAGCTGGGGCCACAGGTGCGCACCACCATGCCTGGCTAATTTTTTATTTTATGTAAAGATGGCATCTCCCTACATTGCCCAGGCTGGTTTTTGAACTCCTGGGCTCCAGTGAGCCACCTGCCTTTGCCTCCAAAAGTGCTGGCTGGGATTACAGGCATGAGCCACTGCCCCAGCCCCAAATTTTCTTATTCCCAATTTTAATTACTCTCTCTTCATTAGGATAATAAGGTTTTTTTTTAATGTGGTCTCTTTATGTGCCAGTGAGGGAATCAAGTGAGGAGTTATCATCCAAGGATCACTTGTCCTTTGTCACAATGTTTAAGTCCTACAGTCAGTCTTGACTGGAAATTCTTCTGAGGCTCCAAGAATGTCCCTGCAGCACTCTCCTGATTTACTTACCTGCTGCCCTGAGTTCTCCTTTACTAACCCTCAACAACATCTGCCCTTCTGAAGCGGATTCCTTGAACCTAGAATGACAGGGAGAACTCGATGTAGTCTAAACAGAAAGGCTGAAATGTACATTATTTTTTTTCAATAAGAAAAATAAGGAATCTCTCTCCTGGGGAGGAATTATAAAGCAAGATCTCTCACAGGCCTTCAGTTTCCCTGTCCTTATTGATATGTAAGCTAATTTTAGGTGGATATGCTGGTTTTTAACATTTTAATAGTCATGCTTTTGTTTAATGTATATGAGAAATATATATCTAGAAAAGTAGAAATGATATAAAGTTTCATTTTAAGGTAGGCAAAAAGTGAACCAGTAATCCCAGCACTTTGGGAGGCTAAGGTGGATGGATAAGATCAGATCAACACCATCCTGGCCAACATGGTGAAACCCCATCTCTACTAAAAATACAAAAATTAGCTGGGCATGGTGGCACATGCCTGTAGTCCCAGCTACTCAGGAGGCTGAGACAGGAGAATCGCTTGATCCCAGGAGGCAGAGTTTGCAGGGAGCCAAGATCACACCACTGCACTGCAGCCTGGGACAGAGTAAGACTTTTTTTTTTTAAAAAAATGCATAGTAAAACATAGTATATGGATAATATGCAGGTATGGGAAAGAATTATGAGGATGATATACAAATGACTAAAGTTTTAGAAACATGAGAATTGTGGAAATCAGGAATACATAGATATGACTAAAATTGCACAGATGTACAATAGGAGAACCAGGAAATAGGCAAATTAAAAATCTGAAACCTATTTAAATTATGCTTGTTACAAACTTGGATTTTTCCCTATTAAAATCTGTAGTCTGATATAATAGTGCATATCTGTAGTCCCAGCTACTTGGGATGCTATGGTGGGGGGATCACTCGAGCTCAGGAGTTAGCAGCCAGCCTGAGCAACACAGTGAGACCCTGTCTTTAAAAAAAAATCTGCAATGCAATGGTTCTGTTATCCACCATTACATACATGAGAAGCTTCATATGCACCATGCATTCTCATGGAAATACATGATTCCTGTGCTTTTCTGTAACGCCACCTCTTTCTCTACCACTCCAGAGGATACACTGGAAGGCAAGCAAATGAAAAATGTTATAATAGGAAGCATTATTCCAGCTGAGCACAGTGGCTCAATGCTGTAATCCCAGCACTTTGGGAGGCCAAGGCAGGTGGATCACTTGAGGTCAGGAATTTGAGATCAGCCTGGCCAACATAGTGAAACCCTATCTCTTCTAAAAATACGAAAATTACCTGGGTGTGGTGGCACATGCCTGTAATCCCCGCTATTCAGGAAGCTGAGGCAGGAGAATCATTTGAACCCAGGAGGCAGAGGTTGCAGTGAGCCAAGATCGTGCCACTGTCTCCAGCCTGGGCAACTGAGACTGTCTTAAAAAAAAAAGAAGAAGAAGAAGACGCATTATTACTACATGAATTCATTTTTGCAATGTGTAAACTATTTACAAATAGGTACTTTAATTCTTAATAACCGTTTCAGCACACCCCATGACTGATCGCCACCTGATTGCACTTGTCACGGCATAAGCGTGCCTGAGAAACAGTGGTCTTACAAACTAGTTTGAGTCTGAGATGTCATTTGTGCAGACCCCTGTTGGGGAATTTGCACAGTAGGGACTGCTTTCCTTGTTGCCTCTGACCTGATAATGTCCTCTTTTCTCTGTACACATACAGACTGTTGGGCGGGAACTGCTGCTCCATCTGATCAACCACCTCGTAACCAGTGATGGCAAAGACCCTGAAATCACAAATCTGATCAATAGTACCCGGATACACATCATGCCTTCCATGAACCCAGATGGATTTGAAGCTGTCAAAAAGCCTGACTGTTATTACAGCATCGGAAGGTAAAGTGGGGCTGGCCTATCTTTATTTCAAAACGAAACAACACAACACAAAAGCTCCCGCCAGGCACCTGTTGGCCTTGGCAAGAGGAGTGTGTCCTGGTGACAGCCCTCAGAGCCAGTGTCCTGTCACTGACATGCCAAAGCTCAAGGCTCCTAGGGCTGTGACCAGCTTTCAGGATGAAATGCGACTCAGGCTACTTTGCACAGGTGCCCACCCAGCCTCTCCATCTTCACTTGCCACTCCCTCGCCCTCCCCTGCCTCCGCCCCTCTGTCCCTCCTTCCTGTCCCGGAACTACCGGTGCTTTCTCACCTCAGTGTTTTACACACACCATTTCCTCCCACTGCCTAAATAGCATTTCCTCCGAGACTCTTTCTCCCCGACCTGTCGTGCACTAGATGCCCTGGTAAACTCTCAAACCACCTGGAACTTTACTTTCAGAGCACAACTTTTAATATCTAATTTCTTGCTTCATGTCTGTCTCCCCACTACACTGCAGGCTACCTGAAGGTAGGAATCCTGTCCATTATGTTCATCGTTGTTAGATCCCCAGTGCCTGACAGAGTACCGAGGCCCTTGGTAATGACTGGCTGATTTATTAAGCCAATAGTCCAAGAACTAACCATAACCAAGACCAGGTCTTGAAGGAGCTCTGATTTAAACAGTTTAGTTTGTTTAAATTCCAAACCTTTGGAGGTTTAGAATTTCTCAGATGTTTAATATACATTTATATTTATGCAATTTATAAATCTGTGTGCTTTACCAAAGCTGAACAAAATCTCACCACTTCATTCCCTCCAATTTTAAGTTATTCTAGCATATCCAAACATGGCCATTCCACTTTTCACAAATGCATGTGTATAAAGTAATGTGTTTACTGTTTCTGTTATCAGTTGCTACATAACAAACCACCCCAAAATTAGTGAATTAAAGCAACAGCCTTTTTATTTACTATTGATTCTGTAAGTCAGGAATTTGTGCAGGGCAGAGCAGGGATGGCTACTCCCCCAGACCACAGGTCTGGGGCTCAGCTCTGGTCTTTCTGAGACAATTGACCTGAAGCCGTGTGTTTGGAGTCTCAGCTCTGGCTGTCACCTGGGCTCCTCGTTTCTCCACATGGACTCTCCACGTGGCTACCATAGGGGTCTCAGAGTCCTAAAAGGGAGAATCTAAGAGCAGAAGTCCCAAAATATAAACACTTATAAAACCTCTGCCTGAATCACAATAGCTAGTGTCTCGTTAGCGAGAGCACATCATGAGGGAGGGGATGCCATGGGGTGTGAGTGCCAAGTGTGGGTCATGGCAGGACACCAGGGCAGCCATCGCCACACCCACACTCACATTTGGAAAGACACCTGGAGCCTAAAGCATAGGGCCGGATGCTGTAAGAATCCACTCCCTCATGCCCTATCAATAAGCCCTCAAATATTCTTTCTTTTAAAGGGAAAATTACAACCAGTATGACTTGAATCGAAATTTCCCCGATGCTTTTGAATATAATAATGTCTCAAGGCAGCCTGAAACTGAGGCAGTCATGAAGTGGCTGAACACGGAGACGTTTGTCCTCTCTGCAAACCTCCACGGTGGTGCCCTTGTGGCCAGTTACCCATTTGATAATGGTGTTCAAGGTAAGCAGGTGCGGGCCCGGTTCTAGCTTCGTAAGTCCAGAGTGGGACTGAAAACTCTCTCTCTCTGCATGGGGATGAACTCTCCCTTCCCCACTCAACTTCTCCAACAGGGTGAAAAGAGCTTCCTGTTCCCAACCCTAGCCATCCTTCTTGTGATTCTTCAACAGCAGATGGGCAGTGTGGCTGAACTGACAACCCACAGTGGACATGCATCAGTGAAATAATGAAATTTAGATTCTAGAAAATAGGATCTAAACAGTCAGATTGATTCTCTGACAAGAGACAACATGGCTAAAATAACATAAAAGTGGAACAACTCACGCTTTTTTGCTAATCATGTGAACAATAATTGTTGACTCTTCTTAAAACTCTGTAATATGAGGACCCAAAATATTATAATAACTTTATTTCATCCCTCTGATACCTAAGGAAACTGTCCTTTCCTCCAGAAATTAGCAAGAGTAATTGAGAGAACATTGAATTTTTAAGTTGATTTAGGAGTTTGGATTTGTATCTGACTTACTTGGGGGCCATCACCTTGCATATGTTTATTATAAAGTAGAAAGAAGAATAGAGGAAGCATTCATGGAGGTGGATGGAGGATTTCTCTCTAGGGAAATTGGAGCATCTGTGTGTTATGTGATTATGTATTTGCTAATGTGGTATTTGTGTTTCCTCTTACTCTAAAGTCAGTTTAAAGGTCTTGGCTCATCTTTTAAATGCAGCAACTGGGGCATTATACTCCCGAAGCTTAACTCCTGATGATGATGTTTTTCAATATCTTGCACATACCTATGCTTCAAGAAATCCCAACATGAAGAAAGGAGATGAGTGTAAAAGCAAAATGAACTTTCCGAATGGTGTTACAAATGGCTATTCTTGGTATCCACTCCAAGGTGAGTTTCTCTTCATTTCTCTCATTCTTTTTTTTTTTTTTTTTTTTTTGTGTGTAAGATGGAGTCTCGCTCTGTCACCCATTCACCCTTTGCCTTCACCCAGAAGTGCTGCTGGTTTATTTTGATCCAGCAGTCGTTAAAACAACTTTAGGTACAATAGGCCCTTCATTGTGTCCTTATCAGCTAGTATCATAGGAGTAGTGGAGGTGACTGATGGTTTGAGAGGTGCTCAGACATGTTCCTTATACCAAGGGCCTCCCTCATTCATTCAGATACTTATTCTGCATCTTCCTACTGTGAGCCAGGAACTGTACCAAGAAAGATGAACAAGACACACAGCTCACCCTGGAGTTGAATAGGGGAGACGGACATGCAAATAAGTAATTGTGATAGCAGTGTAATTAGAATAACAACAGATTTAGAAAAGGCGCAGTGTACCCCAAGGGTGTACAAAGCCAGAACACAGTAGGGAGTAGTGAAGACTTTGGAGAAATGTAATGCTGACATGCCATCTAACAGGGACAGCTGCTACTAGATCTAGCTAATTATTGTCATGCAACCATGGGGAACCAATACTGCCAGATCCTGCAGTTTGTAAAAAGAAGCTGGATTTGTACATGAAGTACCATGGTTTTAAAGCCATTTTGCAGGCTCAACAAAGGAGCTCTTCAGACAGGATACAGCGGGAGGAAGGCCCCCAGTTCTCCATCAGAATAAGATGGCCACGTAAGGGACAGGATGAGATTGCAATGTAGGCAACATGGAAGGAGAAGTATTCTTTTTTTTTTTTTTTTTTTTTTTTTTTTTGAGCTGGAGTATCGCTCTGTCACCCAGGCTGGAGTGTATGCATTGCAGTGGTGCGACCTCAGCTCACCACACACTCTGCCTCCTGGGTTCTAACGATTCTCCTGCCTCAGCCTCCCTAGTAGCTGGGACTACAGGCATGCACCACCATGCCTGTAGTTTTGTTTCTTTTTTTTTTTTTTTTTGTGTGTGTGTTTTTAGTAGTGACAGAGTTTCACTGTCTTAGGCAGAATGGTTTTAATCTCCTGATCTTGTGATCCATAGCCTCGGCCTCCCAAAATGCTGCCATTACAGGTGTGAGCCACCGCGCCCAGCCCAGAGATATTATTATTAGAGGGAATAATAGAAACCTGGGGTAGGAGGGACCTAGGGTGGAAGGACAGGAGGGGAGATGGTAGACTGGAACTGGATTTCCAGCCTCAGGACAAAACATTCCCTTCTAGACTGGTTAGCCTGACCGCACCAACAGCAAGCTGCAGCGTGCATTTCTGCATGCAGGCCACTTCCAAAGGTGCCTTCCCTAATGGTCACTTTGGTTGCACAAGCTTTCAGGTAATCTTGTACAAGCTGGTATTTTTGCGCTGGGGCGGCTTTCTGTCAGTTTTCCAGGGAACATAAATAAGCATAGACCACAACTGACAGGCAGCAGGTCTGGGCAGCATCCAGACCTCTCTCGTGTCCAAGATACAGCCTCCTCCCCTACCTTAGGGCTCCTGCATAGTCTCTGCTTTCCACAATTTGTAGCTAAGAAAGGGCCTGTCCCATCCAGTGGCAGAGCTGTCCTCCATGTTCACTGTCTTAACTTTCAAGGCAAATCCCTATGTGTAAGAGATTAGCTGGGAACAGTTGCTGCTGGGAATTGTTCCCCAGTGTGCCTGTGTGTGAGCTGTGTATTCTTCTCAGACGAAAACAGGTGAAGCCAGCGGCCTTGAGGAGCCCAGAAGAATGTGTTCTAGCCCGGCCTGGAGGTTTTGTTGGCCAGGCCTGACCCGCCTTATCCAGAACTGCTTTCTCCATGCTTGGCATTCTCAATCCTGGCTACTTTGCTAGGGATCCATAATGCCACCTGTTTTGCTATTTAAATTTTTTCTACCTGAGTCACGTCTAGCCATGGGGTTTGTCTTGTTTTCCTTCCTCTCTTCTTTTTCCTTCTACGATTTTTTGGCGAAAATGAGGTCAGAGAAATGTAAAACCTGCAAGGTAAGGAAATAGAAAGGACAGAGAAAGTCTTCCTGACTGGAATCTGGGCCTACATAGATATTACTTAATATTTAGATAATATTTTTATATAACATTTTGACCACTTTCTTACCATTCATATTTTTCTTTTTTAAATTATACTTTATGTTCTGGGGTACATGTGCAGAACTTGCAGGTTCGTTACATAGGTATACACGTGCCATGGTGGCATGCTGCATTGATCCCCCCATCGCCTACATTAGGTATTTCTCCTAACGCTATCCCTCCCTATCCCCCCACCCCCTGCAATCCCTACCCTAGCCCCCTACCCCACAGCATGCCCCAGTGTGTGATGTTCCCCCCATGTGTGTCCATGTGTTCTCATTGTTCAACACCCACTTATGAGTGAGAACATGTGGAGTTAGTTCTCTGATCTTGGGTTAGTTTGCTGAGAATGATGGTTTACAGCTTCATCCATGTCCCTGCAAAGAACATGAACTCATCCTTTTCTATGGCTGCATAGTATTCCAAGGCGTTTATGTGTCACATTTTCTTTATCCAGTCTACCATTGATGGGCATTTGGGTTGGTTCCAAGTCTTTGCTATTATAAACAGTGCTGCAATGAACACACGTATACATGTGGCTTTATAATAGAATGATTTATAATACTTTGGGTATATACCCAGTAATGAGATTGCTGGGTCAATGGTATTTCTAGTTCCAGATCCTTGAGGAATTGCCACACTGCCTTCCACAATGGTTGAACTAATCTACACTCCCACCAACAGTGTAAAAGTGTTCCTGTTTCTCCACATCTTCTCCAGTATCTGTTGTCTCCCAGTTTTTTACTGATAGCTATTCTAACTGGTATGAGATGGTATCTCAATGTAGTTTTGATTTGCATTTCTCTAATGACCAATGATGATGAGTTTTTTTTCATATGTTTGTTGGCTGCACAGATGTCTTCTGCTGAAAAGTGTCTGTTCATATTTTTGACCCACTTTTTGATGGGGTCGTTTGTTTCTTGTAAATTTGTTTCAGTTCTTCGTAGGTTATGGATACTAGCCCTTGGTCAGACGGGTAGATTGCAAAAATTTTTCCCATTCTGTTGGTTGCCAGTTCACTCTAGTGATAGTTTCTTTTGCTATGCAGAAGCTTTTAAGTTTCATTAGATCCCATTTGTCTATTTTGGCTTTTATTGCCATTGCTTTTGGTGTTTTAGTCATGAAGTCCTTGCCTATGCCTATGTCCTGAATGGTATTGTCTAGGTTTTCTATATATCTATGTATATGTACACATATATTATGTACATTTATATATGTATATATATAGTATGTATAAGTATATATACATATATATGTACATATATCTATGTATATGCATAGATATCTATGTATATTTATGTATCTATAGATACATATATGATGTACCTGTATTATATATAACTATACTATATGAATATATAATGTATATATGTAAATATACATGCCATAGTATATATGATATATACACATATAGTATGTATATTATGTATATATACTATATAAGATACATATATATAATATATACATACATACTTAGAAAAAGAATACTAAAATTATTATAAATTATTGCTAAATTAGATATAAATCTGACAAATGTCCTACAGGGTGATAAACCCTAACTTTTGGTGCTATCTTTACAGAGCAGAAATCATTTTTGTCTCTGCAGGACAGAAATTATATCTCTATTGGACAAAAATATTAACATCTTGCCAATTTTCTACAAGCTAATATCTGAATTTACAGTTGTAAAATATGCAAATCACTAATAACAAGTCAGGATTCAGCTCACCTTAGATGGGCTAGTTAGGCAATGCCCTCACATGAAAACAAATTATGCTGGTTATTCTGGCCATTAGTTAAAATCATAGTACACCTTCCAAGTTTTGGTAAATTTTTTTCTGACCAAAGGTCATCCCAATTTACAGTCCTCACCATATGTGAAAGGGACTGTTTGGCCCCTCATGATTACTATTATCTCTTTTAAAAATGTTTGCCAGTTTCATAGATAAAGATGAAATCTCATAATTTTAAGTTTTAGTATTAACTGACATGTCTCTCATAGTCTTATTGAACATTTATTGTTCTTTTTAAAAAAAAGTCTATTAATCTCTATTGCTTATTTTTCTAGCGGTGTATTAGTCTTTTCTCTCTTGATGTTTTTTGATATATTCCTACCAAGTTTATTCTTAAATTATGTATTAATTTATATTTTCTTCCATTTTTATTTCTTTGGTATTTTTATTTTTTCATTTACTTTTCCTTCTTACATCTCATTTTTTCAATAATTTTTAGAGCAGTTTGAGGTTTGCAGAAAGATTGAACAGAAAGTATAGAGTTCCCATATACCCTTTTCCTGCCCCACCCACACACACAGTTTCCCCCATTATTAACATCTGGCATTAGTGTGGTGTATCTGTTCCAATTGATGAGCCAATGCTGATACATTACTATCAACTAAACTCATAGTTCACATTACATAGGCTATGAGGTTTTTTAATAGAAAAACTAGCTGATTTTATTATTATCAATGTCAAACAAGTCTTTAAATCAACTAAAATGTATTTAATTAAGCATAAAGTTACTTTCACATTTGTCTACAACCACAGTAAATACAGTTCTTGGCATAAAGACACAGACTTTAGAATTTAGAGCTTCCCCACCTGCAAGATTACATATATAAAACTCCCACTATTATTTATATAATAGTGGACTAATCAACTTAAAATAGTTATACTATCTAGAATAAAATAAAACGGAAATAATTTACTCATGAGATTCATATTTAAATCATCTTTATTCACAAAATACTATCCTGATATTTATAATTCCATTAACCTACAATTTTAGCAAAAGTATACGTAAAGTAAGTATAAGTGAAAATTATACAGTAACAGCAGTTACTTTAAATTGAAAATGAGATCAGTCAAAATGATTTTTGAAGAGAGCAAAAATCTTGTCAGGTTTCTTGCTGTGGTTCTGGATGTTCAGTAGCAGGCTCATTTGAAGGTGGAATCAACCCTGAAGGAACTCATTTCCACTTTTAAAATGTCGAGGTGGGAGTTAAAATCCAGGTCTTGGGACAAGGTAAGGAGGAAAACCCCTTGGTGGATACACATTTTTCACTGTTCAAAGAGATTGGTAAAAGACATTTTACAACTTTGAGAACCTGTACTGTGCCGTAATAAATCATTAAGTTTATAACTTCCATTATCTATTTTTTACTTGAAAATTGACACCAGAATAATTACTTGATCTAAGAAATTAGCTTTTACAACATTGAGAAAAATGTACTTCTTCAAATATAGATGATTAAAGGAAATATCGTCAATTTTAATGTAATTTTTCTCCTATGTTAATACCTGTTTTTTAAAAAAGATAAAGTATTTAAAAATATATAAAACTTGCTGTAAAAATATATTTTCTTTCATTATCAAAGTTCTTCTGCAAAAACATTTTCTTGTAATATAATTTTCACCAAACTTAAAATTCACATCAGTGATTTCCAATTCTGATTTGATATTACACTCAAATATTTCCAGTTATATCAAAAACCACCTTAAAATTCCCCCAAACAAAATTCATTTTAATTCACTTTAAACTTTAAAAAAAGAGGAGAAAAAAAGGAAGGAATGACTAGATGAAACATTCATAGGCAAAGCCTAGTATTTGGTAACCATATTTTTATTCTGCAGAACCCTACAGTTCAAAATGGTAAAGTATGAATAGAAAAGCAATATATTATTCCCTTTTCTTATGTGAAGCTTTAAAAGAATTCAGTAAATTCAACAATTAGGTCAAACATAATAAATACATTTTAAATTTTAAATACATAGAAGTACATCAGAACTACTTATGAAAAAGACTTTTAAAAATACCTTAGCCAGTAATTTTAATGCTAGAATATAAATTTTAATTATTTTAACTAATGGCTGGAATAACCAGTTGTTACCAATAAGATACAGATAATTTTAGTTTTATAAGACCTGCAAAAAGTCAATTATTTTTTGACTACCAAAATACAGAAATAATTCTGTAGTATTAAGATGAATCCATTTGAAACCTCATTACAGTTCATTTATGGCTGGCTGCCTCCCCACTTTGGAAAAATAATGGTACACTCACAGAATGCTAGAAAAACTTTTCCTTCGCTGTGTTACTGCATGAACAGATAGTAAAATTAATATCTATGATTAATAAAACATATATTTATCTTTAAAAAAAATTTTTTAAAGCAAGCATACTTGCAAATGGAGCATGTGGTGGACCTGGGAAATCCCTTGGTGGAAGATCATCTCCAGAAGTTCCCTTTTCCCACAAAGGTGACAGAGGCCCAGTGTCAGAAGGACCCCTGTGAGAATCGGTTAACGTATCAGAGCTTGATTCCCCTCCTTCGTTGGAAATCTGATGGTCCAGATGATTCCCTGGGCCTCTTGAGCCTCTTCCTCCTCTCCTTGGAAGCAAAGGTGAGAGTCTGAGTGGACCCTCCAATGAAGCTGAAGGAGACAGAATAGGTCTCATTTCAGATGAAGGCTGAGCCAGTGGTGAGGGGCCATATGGGGAATGCTCTCTGCCAAGTGGTATATTTGGAACATCCAATGCATATGGATCTTTTTCTAAAAGTTCACATTTAAACTATTTCAGTTAATTTTTGTCTGTTGTGAGCATTTTCTTTCCTTAAATCTTTGAGATGTCTTTCAGCAGTTCAAGCTGCGAACCAATTATCCTGTGCTTTGTTCTCATAGGAAATAATGTGCCCTTGATAATAATGTAACGTTTTCTCCAATTCTTCAAGATCTTTGGCTCGCTTTCTGTAGGTCTCCAGCTTTGCAGTGGCATGGCTGATCCTTTTGTCTACTTTAGAAAGTTTCTCTTCTGTCTCTACCTGGTAATTTTCCTATGTTGTTAATTTCCTGTAGAGTTTCATTTCATTTTCTTGATATAATTCAGTCATTACTTTAAGTTTCTGTTGAAGCTTCTGATTCTCACCTTAAAAATGTGTGTTTTCTGACTGCAAAGATACTTGTTCAGTCTCAAGATTTTTAATACACTCTGTAAGCTCTTCCTTCATTTTATCAACTTCAGATGACTGGATGTAAATTTGATTTATTTCTCCTTCTAAACTTTTTAAAGAAGCATTGAACTTAGCAGCATGAATCAGTTTCTTCAAAGCTCCTTTTGGAGGATGATCTAAGTAAGCACCATTTTCCAATTCACTGTTCATTTCTAACTCCAAGTTATCACCATCCGTTCTGTCTTCTCCAAGCGTAGCAGCCCAATCTTTCATCTTTAGCAGGCGTTCAGTCAGAGTCTTGATGTGATTGTCTTTATCACTGAGAACTTGTTCTGCGTGTACTTTGGAGTCTTCCAATGCTACTTTCTGTTTATTAAGTTCACTCACTTGTTCTTTCCATACTTCAGCTTCTTGCAAAAGTTGTTTCTGGCTTTCCTGAAGTTGAGAATTTTCATCCAAAGCATCTTTTATTGCTATCTTCAGTTGTTCTTCATTCATTTGAAATAAAGTCGTGAAGATCATTTTGGCTTCAGCTACTTGTGATTCGAGGGATTTTGACTCATCTTCTAGAGACTATATCCTTTTTGAAATATCTGCCATCAGTTCATTTTGTTCAGACTGTTTGGATTTCTCTTCTTTTAACTCTTTTACTAGACAGAGTATTTCATCCTCATGTTCTGCATTGGACCTGTTCAGCTTTTCACGGGTTGCCTCCAAACTTTGTGCTTCTGTTGCTTCCGTCTCAAAGCTGGGATCCTGTAAAGATGACTCGACTTCATAGTCTTCATGCTCTTTTTCAATAACACTAAATTTTTCTTGTAGTTTACATTTTTTTCAATTAGTCTAGAATGCATTTCAGCAAGCTTTTTCTCTCTTCCCACATAAAGCCGATTCCTAACCGATCTAAAACCTCTCCACAAAAAAAAGGGAACAGCAAAAAATCCAAAAATAGCTGCCCCTATCACCTATTCCCATGGAAAACCATAAGAATTAGAATCTGCTCCCATACTTTGACGCAGTGCTGCCACAACCCTGCATAGCATCTCCAGTACCAGCCTCAAGTAAGGCTGAGGGGTAGCCCAGGGCTCCTCCATAGCGCCAAGTCTGCTCTCGGGGTTGCCACAGTAACCCGGGCCTGTGGGGGCCACAACAAAGGGCAGCGATCATACAGCCTTCTGTCTGGAACTTGAATCCGCAGGTGGCAACTGGAGGGGACCATGGTAGAGCGGGCTGCAGGGGGAGCTGCGGGAGGCAGGTGGAGCTGGGGGATGGGTGTGGGAGCTGGGGGATGTTGGGGGAGCTGGGGGACGTGGGTACCCACAGGCCTCATAGATCCATGCCACCTTTTTATTTTTACTTTATTTTTAGAGATGGCATCTTATGTTGGCCAGGCTGGCCCTGAACTCCTAGTCTCCAGCAATCCTCCCCTCGTGACCTCCCAAAGTGCTGGGATTACAGGCATGAGCCACAGTACCTGGCCTAAATTTTTTTTCTACTTCAGTACATCCAAAATATCCTGATGAAACTGAGAATACATATTTTCTTTGGCACGTATCAAGTGTAACAAATTAAAATTTGTTCAGAAACGACTTTCTTAATAGTTACTGTATTTCATCAAATCCAAGATACTATTTATTATAAAACCTGGTGTACTACCAAGAAAATATTTTCAGTTAAAGACACGATGTTTTTAGCCATAAAAATTTTTAAGACAGATCCCAATTCAGAGATATTAAAATATAAAAAATATTGCATCTTAGGCCAGGAGCAGCAGCTCATGCTTGTAATCCTTGCACTTTGGGAGGCCAAGGTGTGCAGATTGCCTGAGCTCAGGAGTTCGAGACCACTCTGGGCAACATGGTGAAACCCCGCCTCTACCAAAATAAAAAAAGTTAGACAGGTGTGGTGGTGCACGCCTGTAGTCCCAGCTACCCAGAAGGCTGAGGTACAAGAATTGCTTGAACCCAGGAGGCAGAGGTTACAGTAAGCTGAGATTGTGCCACTGTGCTCCAGCCTGTTCCACAGAACAAAACTCCATCTCAAAAATAATAATAATAATAATAACAATAATGTTGCATCTTAGTCTGTGGTAAAGTGAAAGCCAGGGACAGTGGCTCATGCCTATAATTCCAGCACTTTGGGAGGCCAAGGCAGAAGGATCACTTAAAGCCTGGAGTTTGAGACCAGCCTGGGCAACATAGTGAGACTCCATCTCCATACACAATTTTTTTTTTTAAGTACCAGTCTCAGCAACATGGCAAACCCCATCTCTACCAAAAAATACAAAAATTAGCCAGGTCGGTGGTACACATCTGTAGTCCCAACTACTTGGGAGGCTCAGGCAGGAAGATCACATGAGCTCAGAAGGTCGAGGTTGCAGTGATCTGTTTGTGCCACTGCGCTCCAGCCTGGGCAACAGAGCAAGACACTGTCTCAAAACAAAAAAATTAGCTGGGTGTGGTGGTACACATCTGTAGTCTCAGCTACTTAAGAGGCTGAGGTAGGAGGATCACTTCAGACCAGAAGTTTGAAACTACAGTGAGCTGTGATTGCACCACTGCATTCCAGCCTGGGTGATGCAACGAGACCATGTCTCTATTTAAAAAAAAAAAATAAAAAAAAAAAAAAAAAAAAGAAAGTATGAAATGATTATTACCTTTTGAAAATAGGGGACCAGAGGAGACAACTGGAAAGTCAGCATGAGCAGTGGCAGCCTAGACTACAGGAGGCTGGGCCTTCCACCTCTGAGAGGCAGCCTAACATTCTATCTTTGATCTGCAGGAGCTCTCTGGCATATTGGGGAAGCCCACAGGGGCTGGCGGAAGGTGGCCTGCACTCCAGTGTCTGCCATTCACTGGCCAACACCCCTGGGGACTTTTCTTAACATCTGTGATCATGTTTCCTCATCTGTAAAGAAGGGACAGTTGCTCAACGAGCTGCTACAAAGCACTTCATACAGTATCTAGCAATAGCGAACACTCAGAAAATGTTGGCCATGATTCTTCCCTTTTAGTGTGCTTTGCTTTATGTAGTAAGTGTATTTATCAATGATTCATAGAAATATTTTTAAAGGAATCTTGTTCCAGCTTATATCCATTTAAAAGGTAATTTAAGAAAGAAATGTAATTCGAAGAATCCTTTTTGTAATGTAGGATTTCAAAAAATAAAAAAGAACCCTTTCTTCACCCCTCACTTAGATTTGACACACAGGTGCACTTCAGTCAGCTCTGATCCAGTTACCCATATGGGAATATTTAGGATTGTCTGGTCATGCCTGGCTAATAAAATGTCAAGCCCTGATTTTACAAGCTAATATGTCAAATTCATCTTGTCCTGTTTACAGGTAGCCGTCTGATTCACTTGTCCCCAAAGCACATGATGTTTGGCTGCACTTCAAGTTTAGACCCTAACAAAAATTCAATATGCTTGTGTTTAGGTGGAATGCAAGATTACAACTACATCTGGGCCCAGTGTTTTGAAATCACGTTGGAGCTGTCATGCTGTAAATACCCTCGTGAGGAGAAGTTGCCATCCTTTTGGAATAATAACAAAGCCTCATTAATTGAATATATGAAACAGGTACACCTAGGTTTGTACAGTTTTCTTATTAATTCCCTGTTAATACAAAATACAGCATCTGGCAAGACCTCCGGGTTGAGTCAATGCAAGCCTTTATTTATGCTCTGTAGTTACAGCCTCATTTCAGTGCCAGATCTGACAGTTAAGAATTCTCTTCTGCGTGAATACCTGCAGTGTGTATGAAATGCAATGACCACTCATTCATAGAAAACAAAGCATGAGGCATCTTCTTTTAATATGAGGGTATAAAAATCCAGAGTACCAGTCAGACCTGGTGGCTCACACCTGTAATCCCAGCACTTTGGGAGGCCAAGGCAGGTGGATCACCTGAGGTCAGGAGCTCGAGACCAGCCTGGCCAACAAGGGAAAACCTTGTCTCTACTTGAAATACCAAAGATAGAAAAATTAGCTGGGCATGGTTGCATGCACCTGTAGTCCCAGCTACTTAGGAGGCTGAGACAGGAGAATTACTTGAACCCGGGATACGGAGGTTGCAGTGAGCCAAGATGGTGCCACCGCACTCCAGCCTGGGTGACAGAATGAGACTCTGTCTCAAAAACAAAGAAACCAAAATCCAGAGTCCCCCTAATTTTACATGTTAAATGTTCTAGAAATCTAGCAGATTTCTAGAAATCTAAAGATCAGGAAAACAGGATGCTACTCTGTTACATGATTTCCCATTTAGAAAAACACGGTGTTTGCTTCTTACTTATCTCATCAGCCACACAGTACCAAGGACTCTGAGAACACTGGACATACCACTTTGCATTTTTTCCAGAACTGGGGTGGCGAGCTAGCGCCATTGCCTTCAATTTCTCTCACCTGTGAACTCTGCCAGATGTCCTGGTGCTAGGAATCTTGCCAGCCTGTTTGCTGAAGGCTGGCTGGCCCTTATCACAGATGGACATACTAAATGTGTCAAAGAATGGTAGCTCTAAAATGTGCAGCAATTCACCAGGAGGACTTCTAAAACAGATTGCCAGGCCCCAACCTAGAGTTTCTGATTGAATGGGCCCTGAATTACTACTATCTTCCCACGTGATGCTGATGCCACTGGTTCAGGGACTATACTTAGAAAGCCATTGCACTGGAGAAACACTGCTTGAGATGATGATGGAATCTTGTACAGTTCAAGTTTATTAACCAGGTGGTGTCTGTTTGGGCAAGGTGTGGACGGCTCTTCTTTATTTACAGAGTTAAAGTTACCTGCTTCCATTCAGAATGGCTTGGGGAGAGAAACATGTCAGAAATTGGCATAATAGCTATAATATCACAGAGAGAGAAAGGCAGTGTTTGTGTGTTGAAAAGGGTTACTGCATGGGCCTACTGTATAATTGCATAATTCCTGGACTGTTCTGCATGATTCACACCAAAGCTTTCCTCCTGCTACGAAGAAGATGGAGAAGGATGAGGGAGGGTAGCACAGGGCCAGAGGGCTGAGTGCAATTAGTACCCTCCCTTGGCCACACAACCCTAAAAGGGATGCCTCTACCCTCTTTCATGCCTGTATTCCCAGCCTCCATTCCCTGACCTGAAGAGAAGCACACAAAGATTACTGGTAAACTCTCAGGGCTGTTTAACTGGCTGAGTCATTCATGGACTAGGTTGACTCCCCATGACAGGGGATGTTATGAAATCCGTTCTTTCTCACCAGCATCTCATCAGATTATAAACTTATTATTGGGACCTTCACCTTCCTTATTATGTCGTCAACCTTTGTCTTGGGCTCTTTCTTGCTTAGTATTCTGGTATTTCTTTCTCTGTTAGATTTTCCTTATGAGGCATGCCGTGTATTAATCTAACCTATTATATTTCTACCTATCTTGATCCTTTAGTTTCTTAATCTGACTATTACTATTATAATTGTCATTATCATTATTTTAGGGACAGGGTCTCACTCTGTCACTCAGGCTGGAGTACAGTGGCACAATCATTGCTCACTGTAACCTTGAACTCCTGGGCTCAAGTGATCTTTCTGCCTCAGCCTCCCAAGTAAGTAGGACTACAGGTGAACACCACCATGTCTAGCTAATTAAAAAAAAAAAACAAACAAAAAACTTTGTATAGAGACAGAGTCTTGCTATGCTGTCCAGGTGAGTCTCAAACTCCTGGTCTCAAGCGATTCTTCTGCCTCAGCCTCCCAAAGTGCTGGGATCTCAGGTGTGAGCCACCATCACTGGCTCTGCCTATTCTTTTCTGAAATTCATTCTTCACCAGTATCAACATGGTCATGGACATGCATATGCTCTATGTAACTGCACCACTATTTTCAGAACCTCAATCTAGCTGTACAGATTATTCACCAAGAACTGAATGAAGGTGGGCTTTGAAGTATCATGTTGATATAATATTGCCAGGGAGGGGGCTTTGTAAGCCGATAACATACAAATTGCAGTATACCTGTAGTTATTATTTTTAACACTTTTGAAGGTTTACCAGTCCACCATTAGCACTAGGTTTGTTTGTTCATTTCTGAGATGGAGTCTGGCTCTGTCACAGAGGCCAGAGTGCAATGGTGCGATGATCTCGGCTCACTGCAACCTCCGTCTCCTGGGTTCATGTGATTCTCCCACCTCAGCCTCCCAAATAGCTGGGATTACAGGTACCCACCATCATCCCTGGCTAATTTTTATATTTTTGTACAGACTGGGTTTCACTATGTTGGCCAGGCTGCTCTTGAACTCCTAACCTCAGGTGATCCACCCGCCTCCGCCTCCCAAAGTGCTGGGATTACAGGCATTAGCCATGATGCCCAGCCCATTTGCACTAGGTTTTATAAATAATGTTTATCTGCCTGTCCCTGTAATCAGATGGAAACAACTCACTCAAAAAATATATATTGCCACATCAACCCTGTCCCCTTGTGGTTTAAGACAGATGCATAACACAGTTTAACAATAAAACCATATTTCCAAACACCAATACAGCGTGGTTATTATTACATAATAGAAAAGTTCTGTCACTACTAGTACCCAATAAGAAGCTAATGAATGTTTTTGTTTGTGAAAGATAAGAGCAAACACCCTTTTACTGGTATTGCTCTGGTTTAAGGATATTATTGATATTTGTCAAGCTGCATTGCATTCGCTGGTTCCATGCTACCAGTCGCTAGGATGCTTCTGAGTTTCTGAGGTTTTGACCCATCTGGAACATTCTGACCCACGTTGTCTGGGAAGGAAAGGTCTTCTGCTATAGTGGAAGGGCATTGCCAAGAGGGCAGAGGCTTGGGTAAAGCAGTTGTATCATCTGGCGATGTTTGAAATCATGAGCAAGCACTTGTCTGAATCTCAGTTTAGTCAACAGAAAGCTGAGAATAATATCATCAGCCTTGCCTCCCACCAGCCTGTTCTAAGGCCTCAGTGGCGTTTTTCTTTCCATTAGAACTCGCTGCAGACCTCAAGTGAAACTCGGGCCCCTTGGTGCCATGTTGTCCTGCTTAGAGGATGATTTACTAGTTTTGAATTGAGATGAGGATGTCACAGACATTAAGGCCAAGGTAGCAAAGGAGGGCAAGTCTGAATTCTAGGGGCCTAGATTGTCTTGCTTGTCCCTGTCTCTGAGGAGAAGCAAAAATGAGCAAGACATGGTATTACCTGCTGCTGCCCTGTCTCTCCCCTGGATTCCTCAAAGCAGATCTGAACCCAGAGAGCCAGGGAATGGCTCACAGCATCCAGAAACCTAAACAACCTGGGCCTAAAAGAATCTGGTATATGCCGAGTTCCAGAAGCCTGTGGGACATGGATGTGGATCTGTCACCACATCCAACATAGGAGGCAACTGTGACCATGCAGTGGGAACATGGGTACAAACAAGCAGTCTCCTAAGTACTGTCCCAGCTCCGACTCTCAGTCGTGGCCAACAGATGCAGAATTCCAGTTCTTGCCCAGCCAAGAAAGGCTTTGATTCATGAAGCTCTAATATGTATTCCAAGGGGAAAAGAGCTTTACATTTCTCCCGTTTATCTCCCCATCTGGCCACAGAATTTTATTTCTTCTCATTTGTGTAGCATCTGAGCACTTTTTAAATTTTTATTTTGTGTTTGTTTTTATATATGGTTAGTAGTGTTGGCTCTCTCTGCATCTCTTGAGGTCTACCAGTCTTTTTATCAGTGTTTCAACTTCAGCATATAGAAATAAATCACATTTTCTAGTAAAACAGTTACTTCCCTCTTAGGTGAAAGGTTTGGTGGCATGTAGACAAAACATTGTAAAGACATGTACAACTAAAGCACGCTTTCATTTGACTAGTGGGAGGAGTTTTTCTATGAATGCAAATTCCATACATAAGCATGGTCTGTGTTTGCCCAGTGACAGTGATATTCACATACCCCAGGCTTCCACAGCTGGAATAACTATCTTTAGGTTTAGGTAAGAGTCATACGAAAGTGAGTCTTTGGCTCTATAATCCCAGAACTTTGGGAGTCCAAAGTGGGCAGATCACTTGAGATCAGGAGTTCGAGAACAGCCTGGCCAACATGATAAAGCCTATCTCTACTAAAAATACAAAAATTAGCTGAGTGTAGTGGCGGGCACCTGTAATCCCAGTTACTTAGGGGGCTGAACAGGAAAATCACTTGTACCTGGGAGGTGAAAGTTGTGGTGAGCTAAGATCGTCATCATCATCCTCAATGTTAAAGGATGGTACAATGTCAGTTTCAATGATACTACTGCTTTGCTTTTTATGCACTTCATTTACTTTGATTTGGTGGGTTTTGGGGGAGTCAATGAAAAATACAGAAAATGCCAACGGACACACCACCCTCTAGCACACGCTACCTTGCTGAAATGCATGGATTTTCTAAGTGGCGGGAACACAGTCAGCTAGCTCAGAGCCCTGGAGAAGGAAATAATTTGCATAGCTTCTTCCCTCACATATTCCTGCTTTACGGAACAAAGGTGAATTGAGATTCCAGCAACTCATCTAATATGTGTTTTCCTCCCCACCCCACCCCCATAGTTTATGTTATCCAAATAAGAGGAAAGAAAGCTGGGCCCGGTGGTTCATACCTATAATCCTAGCACTTTGGGAGGCCAAAGTGGATCACGTGAGCTTAGGAGTTCAAGACTAGCCTGTGCAACAAAGTGAAACCCCACCTCCACAAAAAAAATACAAGCTTGGGTAACATGGCAAAACCCCATCTCTACAAAAATTAAATAAATAAATTAAAACAATGTCACTGAAACCCAAGGAATAAATCCATAATCTGGTTACCAAATTATGACCAATTTATGATTGGGTACTACCTAAAGATCAAAAGGATATATATTAAGCAGTAGGAACAAATATAATGGAAATGTTTTTTAAAAAAGAGGCCAGGCCGGACACAGTGGCTCACACCTGTAATGCCAGCAGTTTGGAAGACCGAGGCGGGCAGATCGCCTGAGGTCCGGAGTTTGAGACCAGCCTGACCAACAAGGAGAAACCCCATCTCTACTAAAAATACAAAATTAGCCTGGTGTGGTGACGCATGCCTGTAATCCTGGCTACTTGGAAGGCTGAGGCAGGAGAATCCCTTGAACCTGGGAGGCAGGGTTGTGGTGAGCCAAGATTGTGCCCTTGTACTCCGGCCTGGGTAACAAGTGCAAAACTGTCTCAAAACAAAACAAAACGGGCCAAAGAGAACCACATGACATGAAAATAGACGTTTACATAGTTGTATAGAGAAAGGGAGAAGGAAATGTGTCATTTTCCTCCTCTGGTAGCAAAAAATGAAGAGTCAGGAATTAAATAGGAAAGAGTATAATAAAAGGCAACCTAGGTCAGATAGAAGTTTGTTTAACAAGATAAACATTGTTTAGTTAAATGCCAAAATTTTTATTTTTCATTTTAACCATTTCTTGGGGAAGCTATTATATGTGCCTCACGTTTTTCTGCCCTAACAGATAATCATTGAGTATAACTGTTTGGGGATCGTTCAAGCTCATCTTATCATTGTAGACTCTTCATTCTCATTTATGTCATTGGGGGCTTAGGTGGCTTCACCTTAAGGTAATATGATTTGACCCTGGAGTAAACAAACTAGATGTGAAATGTAGGCTCTAAAATAAGAAAGGTCTTAAAAATTAATGGCCTTTTAAAAATTGTACTCCTGAAATTTTGAGAGGGGCTCTGGAGACTATCATGTATTGACAGTGAGGCTGGGCCACTTCATTGGCTGTGTGAGCTTGTGAAGGTAATTTTAATAAGCCAGAGTCTTAGTTTTTTTTCATCTGTAAAATCATAATAATTGATGGCACAGAGTTGATATGAGAATTTAATGAGAAAATACACATTTAGCAGTTAATACAGAACCTGGAATATACTAAGTGCTCAATAAATATTGGCTGCTATTACTGGTCAGTTGATTCCATGCTTCCAGCCTTGTGATTATAATTTTGCTTCTCATGTACTTTGATGACAAGACAAAACTATTGAGTCCCTTGCATAGGTAAATATCTTGTTGTAATGTAATACATTGACAGTGTTTTTATTTAGGATTTTATGGAATCCACCAATGATTGTAGTATAGTTTGGCAATTGAGTAAATAACTTGGAAGTGACAGGAGTGGATCTTAGGTTGTCACCTGTGTTCTCTCACTTTGATAGTATGTGCTAATATAAATAGACTATTCCATTAGTAATTTTGACTGTATTTTAAGTTACATCAAAAATAAGTTTTCTTTCCCTCTCTAACAGTGAATATTAACTCAGAACATTGAGTTAGCTAATAAATATTGCATATATTGTTCTTAAATATTTACAAGAATTTTTATATGCCATAAAATACATTTAATTTTATTTTTGTCTTGCAGGTATAAAGGGTCAAGTTTTTGATCAGAATGGAAACCCATTACCCCATGTAATTGTGGAAGTCCAAGACAGAAAACATATCTGCCCCTATAGAACCAACAAATATGGAGAGTATTATCTCCTTCTCTTGCCTGGGTCCTATATAATAAATGTATGTATGTAAGGCTAGTTATTGTTACTAAAATATTATAGAACTCATAATTCTTACCCAGAAGAAATTGAAAAATAAATCTAAGAAGTTCAAAAGTAGATCCATCAAGACAGAAAGAAAGGACAGTGTCAGACTTGCAATTGGCAGGGGATAGAAGGGATGGAAATTACAGAGAAAAAAAAATTCCTATTTTTTTCTGATGGCAATTATTTTTTTAAATAGAAGCCAAATCCTATTTCTTGTGATACCTTTTATGATTAAAATGTAACCTCATTTATAATTAGAATAAGCAATGTAGCAAAGGTAGTTTATACCTTCATGGAATAACATATAACACTCATTCCATGGAATATACTTTCTACTATAAAAAATGAATTGGGAAATGTTCCTTAGAATTTATTTTATAATTGAAATCTGATCCATAAATTTTATCACTATATTCAGCAAATGATAGACTTATTTTGCAGCCCTTTTTTCAATTGATGCAAGTAAAATTTCAGTTTTTAATTCCATAAAATAGATATTTCTGAGTTATTTTATCCTAAGACAGGGAAGCATGGACTAATTTGAGCCTGAGTAGATTTATGTGAAAGAACTAAATGAATAAGTATTGATTTAGTTGGCCAGATTTTGCCTCTTTCTCTTTGATGTGACTTTCTCTGAGAAATTCAAGATTCTTCTACTTTGCTTAGTGGGTCTCATGCCAACCATAGCAGTCATTCTACGTAGAGCTAATCCTGGGAGAAGGTAGTCATCTCTTCTGTAGTGAAAACTGAATGGGTATTTTATTATTTCATCTTGAGGACATCATGAAAAACAAGGTTTTTAGTTGATAAAACTATAGAATTCAGAGCCTTCCTGCTCCATGCGTTCTCCCCAAGGTGTGTAGAAGTGGGGCCTATCAACTGCAAATCTTTTAGGAATATCCACTCCTACAGAGAAAATGGATAGAGCTTGGAAAACCTCAACTCACTGTGGTGAATTTTTCTCTAGAGGGCCCTTTATTTTCCTCCTATTTACTGTGATATTTCTATTTTAAAAAATGGCTTTCCTTATAGTGAATCTAATTACTTGAATGCAATCTCATAAATAAGCCACACCTTTAGAATAACGTTGTGAATTGTTCATTTCACATTAGTTAGACTAAAACAGTACACATTGACCATAGATATTATTTCCAGGATAAGATTTGAAGGTAAGACTCTGGACGTTGAAATGAATGCATAAAATACATACCAATGAGTGGTTATGTAAATGTCATTCTCCATCATATATAATAAAAGCATTTCTCAGTAAACATTGCCTGTAGTCAGTTTAGCATTTCTCTTATTTGACCTGATCATTTTCTCCACTAAAAGCAAAACAAAACAAAACAAAACAAAATCTAACTGAAGATTCAGGCTCATATGAACAAAGCCAGGTAAAGGAGACTGGATGTGGTAGCTCACATCTGTAATCCCAGCACTTTGGGAGGCCAAAGCGGGTGAATCATTTGAGGTCAGGAGTTCAAGACCAGTGTGACCAATGTTGTGAAACCCTGTCTCTACTAAAAATACAAAAAATTACCTGGGCATGGTGATGCATGCCTATAATCCCAGCTGCTTGGGAGGCTGATGTAGGAGAATCGCTCGAACCTCGGAGGCGGAGGTTGCAGTGAGCTAAGGTTGTGCCACCATACTCCAGGGTGGGTGACAGAGCGAGACTCCATCTCAAAAAAAAAAAAAAAAAGAAAGAAAGAAAGAAAAGCATTTAAATGAAGCAATAGACTTGTAGGTCAACTGAAGAGAAATGAGTAAGTTGAGAAAATAATTCTAATGATTCTACTTGTAAATAATCTTGATATCTAAGGAGGATGTTAAATACATACAGTAAAAAGGGAAACAGTTAACTCTTTACCTTTGTGCCCCATGGAAAGGATGGTGGCAGAATCATCTGCTGCTTCCTTCTCTTCACTTACATCCCCAGATAAGGTACCCATCTGTCCTGATTTCATTTTGAAATTCTTGGCAACAGCATCCACAACGCTGGTCTCTGTCAACAGGCATTGGGTAACTCAGCCTGCAGGACCAAATCTGCCGCTGGCCCAGAGTCTGGCAGATTGTGACATGCATTGCACAAAGGCTGCATTTTAGTGGTGGAGATCAGTGTTTTCAGTGTGGGCACCAACAAACATCTTCAGTCACTCATATAATTGTCTCTTGTTTCTTCTCAGGTTACAGTCCCTGGACATGAGCCATACCTTACAAAAGTAATTATTCCAGAGAAATCCCAGAACTTCAGTGCTCTTAAAAAGGATATTCTGCTTCCATTTCAAGGGCAATTGGATTCTATCCCAGCGTCAAATCCTTCATGCCCAATGATTCCTCTGTACAGAAACTTGCCAAGCCACTCAGCTGCAACAAAGCCTAGTTTGTTCTTATTTTTAGTGACTCTTTTGCACATATTCTTCAAACAAAGTAAAATGTGAAACTCAAGCCACATCACCACCTGGAATCAGGGATTACTCACTCCAGGTTACTGCAACCCTAACTCACTCTAGTGGGACCTTGACTTGAGAAACTCCACAATCTTCCTGAAGAAAAGTGGATGTTTCTAAATTCTGCAATAAGCAGTATGTGGTGATAATGAGAAGAATGAGTCAGTCTTGATGATGAATGGAAGACACATACCTAGCACGTACTTCTCATTTACACTCAAATTAATCTTGAAGTTGTCTTAAAATTTGTAAGAAGTTAAAACTTGAGAAGCAAAAAAAATGCCTTCCAAAGGAAGATAATTTTGTATCCAGAGAACCGGATGAATATAAGCAATAAAGATGAACATTTATTGATCTTCTATATACAAGACCTACCATGAGGCCAGACATGGTGGCTCACGCCTTGTAATCCCAGCACTTTGGAAGGCCAAGGCGGGTGGCTCACCCACCAGCCTCAGGAATTCAAAACCAGCCTGGCCAACATGGTGAAACCCCATCTCTACTAAAAGTTAACGGAGTGTGGTAGCAGGTGCCTGTAATCCTAGCCACTCGGGAGGCTAAGGCAGGAGAATTGCTTGGACCTGGGAGGCAGGGGTTGCAGTAAGCCAAAATTGCACCACTGCACTCCAGCTTGGGCAACAGATTGAGACTCTGTCTCAAAAAAAAAAAAAGACCTCACCGTGAGTGCTATATGTGAAGAGATAGTAAGTGCCATATATTTTTAGTTCTCAGAGAAGGGAGAAATTATAGGACTGAGAATTGTTTTGCAAATGTTCTAGGAGATGTGAGAGAAAATATGCAAGCATATTTGAGTGGCCCAAGAAAATACAAGCCTGAAGGTAAAAGATTGTGTCTCTATAGAGCATCAAAGCACACAAGTCAATTAAGTAAGCCCCTCTCCCTCCAGAGCCACGTGTCCATAGATTTTGGCACGTGGCACCACAGTCATCTGTTACGCTGATGACTCCAAGGGTATAACTCTAGCCTCTTGCCTGAGCTTCAGACTCACATCCCACTGCCCACTGGACACATGCACCTGGATGTGACTCACAGGTACCTCAAACCTATCATGTGGAGATACTCATCCTGTTCCCCCTAGAGCTGCTCTTCCTGCTGCATTGTCTTTCTCAGTTACTGGGACCACCAAGCTAGGAACCTTGGAGTCATCCCTGATACTTTCTCCTCCTCCTTAATCCCATGTATTCAGCAAGTAACTAAAGATTGGTGTTGGCTGGGCATGGTGGCTCATGCCTGTAATCCCAGCACTTTGGGAGGCCAAGGCGGGCAGATCACTTGAGGTCAGGAGCTTGAGATCAACCTGGCCAACATGGTTAAACCCCATCTCTACTAAAAAAAAAAAATACAAAAATTAGCCAGGTATGGTGGCACGCGCCTGTAATCCCAGCTACTGGGGAGGCCGAGGCAGGGGAATTGCTTGAACCCAGGAGGCAGAGGTTGCAGTGAGCCAAGATGGCGCCATTGCACTCCAGCCTGGGAGGAGAAGCAAAACTCGGTCTCAAAACTAAAAAAAAGATTCGTGTTAATGATAAATATTGATACATTCTGCTCTTCTTGGTTGTCAGCACTGCAAAGTTGAGACCTCATGCTTCACCTGCACTGCTGCAACAGCATTTTGGTCCCTTGCTCCTTTCAGTCCCTCCTTCACACAGCACTGGGGAAGGGGAGCCACTTGAAACAAAAGTCCACAACTGCTCGTAGTTCATAAACACAGAGCTGCTTGTGTCCCTGTATCTGGAATGCCATTCTACCCACCACATTTTTCCTTTCCCACTCCTCTTAAAACTCAGTTCAGGTAGCAGCTCCACTAGGAAGCCTTGGCTGACGATAATCCCATTCAATTCCATTTCACCCCTTCCCAGGCAGTCTGGGGTTGGGGACCCTTCCTCTTTGCTCCCCAAAATAAACTGTGTATCTCTACTATTGGATTTACAACATTGTATTATAATCTTCTACTTCCATGGGTGCCTTCTCTAGTAGAATGTGAGCTCTTTGAAGCCAAGGTCTACTAAATTTGTTGGAACAATTCATTTTAATATCCTCAAAGCCTAGCACATAGTAGGTACTTAATGAATGAATGAACAAACAAGGGGTTCCAGGAGCCTATTACTCCCAGTGCTTCCCGGAAACCGCCTAGGGCTTTGTCATTTTATGAAGCTAGGTCTTATGCTTAGGCAATCTCCAGCTCACTTGGAACACTGACAGAAGAGTGTTTTCATGTCTGTAATCAAGAAAATAATCCCAGATACATTCCTTTTACTGGACCTTGAATTGATCCTAATGTTAGTAGTAAAGGTATTTTGTTACCTGTCAACAGCACTGCAAACTACCTTTTTTTTTTTTTATCAGATTAAATTTTACTGTTAGGACTCAATTTGAAGTACTAATGCTTCTCAAATTCTCTATGAGAGTTACTCTATCTTAAACCATGACCTGTAAGAATTAAAGGGTAAAGCACTAACCAGAAAAGAAAGAAAACAATAGCAACTGGTGAGCAGATTCCTTCCTTCCTGAAACTCCTTCCTTCCTTCCTTCTTTCTCCTCTTCCTACCTTCCTTTCTTCCTTCCTACTTTCCCTCTCCTCCTCTACTTTCCTCTCCCCTCCTCCTCTCCCCTTCCTCTTTTCTTTCTCTTTTTTTACTTAATCCCCAGTGCAATAGTAATATAGGCCGATTTCTAGAAGTGTGGTGTATTACGGAATATGAGTTGCCTTGGTTCTTACTTTCAGTTGAAAGTTCTACAGGATCTAGAAATGAAACCATAATGGCATGGAGAGTGATGACAACCACAGAGGAATGAAGAGCTCCTGGAGCATTTAGGCCATTTCTATGCCAAGCTTATTCTGCATCCACAAAATCATACATGTCAATATAAACACAATTTGGAGGCTTCTTTAACCCACTTAGAAAATCTGGTAATTTGTGTGTCGGCAATAGATAACAAAAAAAATCTTATAATAATCTGAATATCTTGATTATTTAAGTAAGCGGTAATTTATTATATCCTTGAAAGTACATATTAATATAATATTGCAAAAATGACTTTGGTATATTACAAATAAAAGTATGTAAGACTAAACTTGATTTGCCATCAAGCCCCAAACAGTTTTTCAACTGGGCATTGAGTTCTAACTTTTCTAAGATAGCAGTTTTTGAAGGGACACGAACTAAAATCAGAATGAGTTCATGAGCCTTAAGGTAAACCTCTTGCTGAAATAATCTTTTTAAAATCAAAATTTGGTATCAGACTCAAAATCATTTAAAGACTAACAAAACACAATCATGGTATTCTGACTGTGGTCAAACCAGGTACCCAAACCCCTGCCCTGTGCAACACCTTTCCTGCTCTTCCCCTCCCTCGTAGGCTGGTGGTTATGCTCCATGGCTCTAAGTTCAGCTAGAATTCCTTTTATAGAGAAACCAACATGATAAACACATTCATGATGATGGGAGAAAAATGTGGGAGTGAACTGATATTTAGAAAGCAGCAGTCAGGCATGGTGGCTCATACATGTAATCCCAACTTGGGAGGCTGAGGCAGGCCTATCACTTGAGGTCAGGAGTTTGAGACCAGCCTGGCCAACATGGTGAAACCCTGTCTCTATTTTAAAAAGTACAAAAATTAGCCGGTGTGGTGGCACACGCCTGTAGTCCCAGTTACTTGGGAGGTTGAGGCAGGAGAATCCCCTGAACCCAGGTTGCAGTGAGCCAAGATTGCATCACTGCACCACACTCCAGCCTGGGCGACAGAGCAAGACTCCCTCTCAAAAAATAAATAAATAAATAAAAATAAAAAATAAAAAAGGCAGAAGCCCTGGATTCAAATCCACCACACACTCAGTTTTCTTATCGGTAAAATGAAGACCCCCTGACTGAACAGTGATTCTGTGACTCTTAGAAACAGTGGTAAGAGATGCTACATTTTTGGTGCTTGTTCAGATGGAGGAAGGATAGTTAACACTCAGGTAGCAATTATTTTGAAGGCAGTATAATATATCTTCTTAAAAAGTATACCTACTCAAATATTGGTAAATGTTGACATGCCTGACCTAAATGATGAGGAGTATTTTAGAAAAACACTAAGTCCCTGCAGATAAATGACAGTGTTGATTTGGGTGCTTAATGTATTACATTTAGACTTGAACTGTTGGATGTATCAGAAATGTTAAAAGCTTTTTCTCAACACTTCTGAAGTTTTTCCAAGAAATCAATGTTATGTTTTGTTCCAGAAGCAAATTTGCATTTGTGATCTGCTTCTAAAAATGCTGTAAGTTACCTCTATGTTTAGAAAGTGAAAATATCTGATGCTAGATTGGAAGTATCTCTTCCTGGCGAACCCAGAAAGGTAAGAATAGCATATTGTCTTACTGCAACAGATAAGTTGCTTATTGAGAAGTCTGTTTGTTATTCTATATGATAACAATACAGTTGGTGTATATTTTATGATAGATCCTTTCATTTTCCTCATAACTTTAGATGGGGAAGGGGGGAAATTATGGTATCCAGATTAATTAAAGAGCATTGAAAGTCCACAGTACTGTATCTAAAGTAGAAGCTTGGGTTTGTTGTAGACTTTACATTATATCAACTAATGAGCAGATATTTGTACAGTATTGCTTACCATTTTATTGTAGTTTTTCACAGCCTTTTATAGATGTTTTATAGCTTATTTTACCAGTTTTCCCGGAAAATTCCTTTTTTTTTCTTTTCTTTTTTTTTTTTTTTTTCAGATGAGGTCTCACTCTGTTCGCCCAGGCTAGAGTGCAGTGATGCTATCTTGGCGTACTGCAACCTCCACCTCTAGGGTTCAAGCCACTCTCCTGCCTCAGCCTCCTGAGTAGCTGGCACTACAGTGCCCACCACCACACCTGGCTAAGTTTTTGTATTTTTAGTGGAGATGGGGTTTCATCCTGTTGACCAGGATGGTCTCGATCTCCTGCATGATTTACCGGCCTCAGCCTCCCAAAGCGCTGGGATTACAGGCATGAGCTACCACACCTGGCCACTTTCTTTTATACTATAATTAAGAATTTATTCAAATGTTCAAATTGTCTAAGACTGTAAAGTTTATTGGGGAGAGGCAATGACTACCTCTGAATTTAGTAAATTTAAAATATTTCTGATTCTCAATAAAGAACTAATATTCATATAAATAATGAATGCTTTTTTCCCATTATGTAACCTGAAAATAAATACTTATGCAAATAGAAGAAAGTCCACTAAAAAGAACTGATTACAACCAAATAAAACTTTGAGGAAAACAAAATTTAATGACATTTTATGAGGCAATAATATTGTAACAACTCTTTGAAGTCCAGATCTTCCAGAACATGTTATATGTGCTATATGTTATGTATACTACATATAACATATTCCATGTTAATTGTGTTCTGGGGCAGTGTGTTCCATGGGCAAGACAATGGATGGAAAGTATGCTTTCTGATCAGAAAAAAGATTTGAAAATTTACAGTTTATATTATGTAATAAAGAGACTGAGAAATGCAGAAAAGAAGATGTCCCAAACATGCTTAGCTATGGGATCATTTCCTTAAATAATTCAGCCTCATACCATCCCTTTGGACTAACATACCTATATTTCCAAACACACTTTAAGAAATACTGATATCAGAGAAGTCTTTTGTTCTGAATAACAAAGTTTATTTCCAGGTGCTTTTGAAATACGAAGAACAGCTGTAAACAAATAATTCGCCTCCAGTAGGAACTGTAAGTCTCACACTCCTGACCCTAAGCACTGCAAAGCCCTGCTAATATCAACCTAGTCATAGGACAGAGGATGGGCTCAAGTTTCTGTCTGCTCTTTGAAACACACTAAACAAATAGTAGTTTCAATGAGACATTGCTGAGTAGATATCTCAATTTAGAAAATAAACTGGAAATAGTTTCTCTGTTTTCAAGAGAATTTATTATGTTGCATGGAAACCCCTTAAGCAGAAGTTCCCTGGTATATTTTGGCTAGACTTCAGTATTTGATTTTGCAGCATTTTGTTTGTTTGTTTTTTGTGATGGAGTCTTGTTCTGTTGCCCAGGCTGGAGTGCAGTGGCGGGATCTTGGCTCACTGTAAACTCCCACTCCCAGGTTCAAGTAATTCTCATGCCTCAGCCTCTCGAGCAGCTGGAATTACAGGCACACACCATGATGCCTGGCAAATTTTTGTATTTTTAGTAGAGACAGGGTTCCACCATGTTGCCCCAGTTGGTCTTGAACTCCTGGCCTCAAGTGATCCTCCCACCTCAGCCTCCCAAAGTGCTGGGATTACAGGCGTGAGCCACCACGCCCGGGCAAGATGTGCAGCTCTTCAAAGCATCCATTACAATCTCCCCTCCCACAAAAGTAAGGTAGAATTTTTAAATGAACTAATTTTTTTCAATTATTAGACATGAGGGGAAAAAGTAAATAAGAATGAAAGTCTAAACAAATGATTAGCCTATTTTTGGATGGTAGAATTATGTTTTTGGTTTTTTTTTTTTTTTTCTGCTTCATTTTTGAAATGTTCTATTGAGGCAGGAAAATAGACAGGGAACCTAAGGATGTTTCACACCAACTTCCTAGAACTAATCTGAAAGGAAAACGCTAATTTCCCACCCTAAGTAGCAAAAGGACCAGAGGCTATTCCCTTTGCAAACCTCTGACCTTTTCTGCAACTGCAGATGGGAAATTGGCTGTCCGCAACAAATCAGACTGATTGTGAAGGAGTGTCAGGGGTTTTTTTTGTTTGCTTTTTGACAACTGAGATAGAATTATTATTTCTCTGCTCTCTTGGAGTGATCTCTCAGTGCTGTTAAGAGTCACCTCTGGCCAAGTATAGTGGCTCACACCTGTAATCCCAGCGCTTTGTGAGACCAAGGCAAGTGGATCACCTGAGGTCAGGAGTTCAGAACCACCCTGGCCATCATGGCAAAACCCCTTCTCTACTGAAAATACAAAAATTAGCCAAGTGTGGTGGCACACATGCCTGTAATTCCAGCTACTCAGGAGGCTAAGGCAGGAGAATCACTTGAACTTCAGAGGCAGAGTTTGCAGTGGGCTGAGATAGTGCCACTGTACTCCAGCCTGGGTGACGGAGCAAGAGGAGACTGTCTTAAAAAAAAAAAAGAAAAAAAAAAAAAAAAACCAACCAGGCACGGTGGCTCACGCCTGTAATTCCAACACTTTGGAAGGCCGAGGCTGTGGATCTTACCTGAGATCAGGAGTGCAAGACCAGCCTGGCCAACATGGTGAAACCCGGTCTCTACTAAAAATACAAAAATTAGGCGGGCACGGTGGTGCATACCTGTAGTCCCAGTTACTCGGTAGGCTGAGGCAGGAGAATCACTTGAACCCGGCAGGGGCAGAGGTTACAGTGAGCTGAGATCGCACCACTTCACTCTTGCCTAAGGAAAAACAGCGAAACTCCATCTCAAAAAAAAAAAAAAAATCTACCATTAGTGGACACCTTCAGTCTTCCCAACATGACGCTTCCACCTTGTGGTTAAAAAATGCTTAACTTTGAAGAGATTTGGTCTTCTCATACATCCCCTGTAAAAGAAACAAAATAAATGTGAAAAAAGGTCTTTTTTATAGGGACCAATTTTTTTCTAAAAAGCTTTGTCAGGGAGATTCTCTCTCTTAAAAAAAGGATTTTTACAATTCTGACACCATATCAATTTTTAAAGACTACTGTTTTCTTAGAATGTTTCTTTTTTTGCCATTTATTGCACAGATATTAATTTGTGAGAGGGGGGATTTCAGAAAATTCTAATAAGGCCAGGTGCAGTGTCTGAACACCTGTAATCTCAGCACTTTGGAAGGCTGAGGCAGGCAGATCTCATGAGGTCAGGAGTTCAAGACCAGCCTGGCCACTCCATTTCTATTAAAATGTAAAAACCCAAAAAAATCACAGCCACTTGGGAGACTGATGCAGGAGAATCGCTTGAGCCCGGGAGGTAGAGGTTGCAGTGAGCCAAGATCATGCCACTGCCCTCCAGCCTGAGCAACAGAGCAAGACTTCCTCTCAAATAATAATAATCAGTAAGGTTAATGAACATAGTATTTTTTTATTTTTTAGAGACAAGTCTCCCTCTGTCTCCTGAGAAGAGTGTAGCGGCGCAATCATAGTTCATTGTAACATCAGACTCCTGGGCTCAAATGATCATCCCACCTCAGTCTCCCAAGTAGTTAAGACTGTGGGTACAAGCCACCACAATTTTTGGATATGGCGTGTCATTACATTGCCCAGGCTGATCTCAAACTCCTGGTCTCAAGTGATCCTCCTTCCTTGGCCTCCCAAAGTGTTGAGATTACAGGCATGAGTCACCGAGCCTGGCCCAGGATGGTATTTTAAAACTGTCTTTTCATCTTCTAAATCAACAAAAACTTCATAGTTGATTTCATTGCCAATCAACATCCCTTACTAAATGCCTACTGTATACACAATGCATTTATTTGACAGTTGAAAGAAGGAGATACAAAATGATGTTACAACCTGCTATGGGAAGAAGATACAAAGGAACACATTGGTATGAACAGAATACCTCAGACTTGAGAGTGCATAAAAAAGGCTTAATTCACCAGATGCAGTGGCTCACACCTGTAATCCCAGCATTTTGGGAGGCCAAGGTAGGAGGATTGCTTGAACCCAGAAGTTCAAGGCCAGCCTGAGCAACATAGCAAGACCCTGTCTCTAAAAATACATACATACATACATACATACATACACACACACACATACACACATGTATTAGCCGGGTATGGTGGCAACAGGCCTGTGTTCACAGCTACTCAGGCTGCAGTGAGCCATGTTTGTGCCACTGTACTATAGCCTGGGTGACAGAATGAGACCCAGTCTCAGAAAAAAAAAAAAAAATTGGGGATGAGGGTAGAGGTTACATCAAGGCTACCTAAGCTGGATTTGGGGTGATTATGGTCAAGAATGGATGCAAACAGAATATTAAACTGCCATTCATTAAAAGTGCTTGCTACCTGCCAGACACCATCCTAAATTCTGTATATTTAATGTCTCTAGGGTCACTAGGCAAGTAAGTACCAGATATGTGACTTTGAACTTCCCACAATAAGCTTATGAACTTTGTTGAAGCAAAATGATTTGAGAAGTGAAAAGTAAGCACCCATTTCATAGTGTTCTAAAAGCCTAAAATAATCCAGTAGAACATCAGAGATAAAATCCAAAAAGCAGGTTTTTCCCCAATATTTAAATCAAGGATGCAACATGATATCTGTCAACTATAACTGAACCAAAAATGGGGGGACCAAACGTAGTAAAATCCATTTAGGGAAATATTACTGTGATCTGGGATTGGAGGAAGGCCTACTGAATACATGACAGTGGGCTGGGAAGGTGTGAACCAAAAATACACACATGAAAAAGCACTACAATTTAACCCAGAGAAATAAATGAAATTCACCTAGAACATAATGGTAATGAAATAAATTTAAAAGGTGAAATTTTGGACCTGGCGTGGTGGCTCACGCCTGTAATCTCAGCACTTTGGGAAGCTAAGATGGGCAGATCACTTGACCCCAGGAGTTTGAGACCAGCCTGGGCAACATGATGAAACTGTCTCTACAAAAAATACAAAAATTAGGCCGGGCGCAGTGGTTCATGCCTATAATCCCAGCACTTTGGGAGTCCTAGGCAGGTAGATCATGAGGTCAGGAGTTTGAGACAAGTCTGGCCAACATGGTAAAACCCCAACTCTATTGAAAATACAAAAAAAGTTAGCCAGGTGTGGTGGTGGGCACCTATAATTCCAGCTACTCAGGAGGCTGAGGCAGGAGAATTGCTTGAAACTGGGAGGTGGAGGTTGCAGTAAGCTGAGATCATGCCACTGCACTCCAGCCTGGGTGACAGAGCAAGACTCTATCACAGGAAAAAGAAGAGCTAGGTGTGGTGGCTTGCACCTGTGGTCCCCAGCCTCTTGGGAGGCTGAGGTGGGAGGACTGCTTCAGCCCAGGAGGTTGAGGCTGTAGTGAGTCATGTTTGCAGCACTGTACTCCAGCCTGGGCAACAGAGCAAGACCCCATCTCAAAACAAAACTAAAGTAAAATCTTGGAATTAGGAAAGATGCTATTTTGATAAATTGGCTTTAAGCTGTTGGCTGGACCACTAAGTTGTGGCATTCTGAAGACAGAAAA